GGGGAGCAGTCGGCCCAGCTTTTTGAAAGTCAGCGCTTTGGGGTTCTTACTGAAGTGCCAAACATATTGGCAGACACAGGAGATCAGGGACTTTGCTGAAACGGAAGCGTTTTTTGGCTCGTATAGTGAGAATAGATAGTAGAAATACTAATAATAATCAGAACAGTACTAATAGTAGTAAGAACACTATTAAACCTAAACCGTACACCTGCCTGCTACAGGGAAGGATGGACCATCCTGAAATCAGCACCGTGCTGAGGCGGAATCCTCTTGTTTTTGCAATACAATAATTCCCTAGGGCTCCAGTTACCTAAATGATGGGTTCTAGGTTCTATTTACCCTATAGTTGCATAGCCCAGTAACCTAATATTTAGGTAATTGGGACTGGGGGCCGTAGGGATTGACAGGGATGTTCGCGTAGTGGATTCTGTTGAGAGAAAGCACTCGGTACACTCGGACATGGACTTTGTAATCCGGCCAGCCCCTCACGCTCCAACATTGACGCTATTACCTGGGCCAGTACTCATTGCTCAGGCGATTGCATGTTGTTGTCTGGGCCAGCGTGGATGTTCCCCCAACCGCGTATGTTCAATCATCGTCCGTTCTATGTATGGAGCAGCATGGACGCCCAGGTGAAACGTATACGCTCAAACGAAGACTTTTCTATTTTGGGCCGGCGCGGATGCTCTCTCAACCTCAAACGCTCGATCATGGACGATACCACCTGGACCAGAGTGAACGCTCGCAAATGCATACGCTGAAACACTGGCGTTATCATCCAGGCCAACATGAGCACGAAGGACCCGCATTTGCTCCAACATGGATCTTGGCCGCATGCCTGGTCCCCACGGCGCGGAACAAATTGAAGCAGGCTTTCAGCCTATTGTTAACATAATGGGTATATACAGTAAAAAATAGGGTTCCCCCCCAATATAGTTACCTAATTTAAGTTCCTTAACAGCAACCAAGCATACGACATACGACTGTACACACGACTGTACAAGGGTCGGAAGGACAAGGGTCACAATGGGATGTTCTGCCTGACTGTTCAGGCCTGTACATGATGACTGAGTATGACCTGATGTTGCAGTACTTCTGGTATTACCAACGACTTCCGCATCACGGCTCCATCCCCCTAACCAATTTTGCACAAACCCCACCCACTGCGCAAAGTTAAACTTGCGCCGTAGTTGCGCGAATATCTTGGAAGAGACATTGAATCTTGGCGGGTAGGTAGCTCAGGTGTTTGCTACAAGTATCAGAAGGAAGATGAAGGCAGGGGAAAAAAATCCAGCGATCAAAAACCCTAGCTGCTGAGATCCCTGGCGCAAACGAGCTATACGTTTTTTAAAGGTAAGATTATAAAAGCTCACCAACTCAGCCACTAGCAGCCTAATCATCTTTTCTAAGCTCCAAACCCTAATCTGCTACTGCCGAGTATCTCCGTGCCAGGGAAATGCCTCACAACATTCTCCAGCTTATTGTCCTCAGCCGGCGCGAAGATGTTGAGGGCATTCTTGAGGAATTTCGGTGAACTTCGCTATCCCACTTTAGGGTTCAGCGATTCTGGGCCGTTCCAGATATGGAGTACAGTAAACATTGCTTACCCAAAGATGCCTCACTCTGCATCTTACCTTTGAACAAATAGATTTTGTGACCAGGGTTTGTTACAAAGGGTTTAAGGCTCTTGTTGCGACTGCAAGCACGGCCCCTAAACAGTGAGCCTGGGAGAACGCGGTACTTGTGCATAACCCCTCCAGCAGTAGCCCTGAAAATACTTGCTCTCCAGCCCTCAGAGCCTTCAAATTCTCGGCAAAACTAATAATAGTGGTAGCAATAATAGTACTGATGATAGAAGTAATGATGATAGTAGTAATAGTGAGTATGGAGCTTTCAAAGTGCTGAACAAGTTCTTGCAATAGCACCCCTATTTGAAGCATGCCGCTGAACAAAAAACCCTGCAAATCCGAGGACACGACAGATAGCCGACAGAACGGCGTGCAAAAAACCATGGCCAAAAGAAGGGTAGAATCACTCAGAAGATGTGAGCACGCGGACGTTGTGGTCCTTTCTTCGCTACCCTTTGGTAGTCTTATTGTGGGCCGTTGCTTGTGGAGCTCTCATGTCTAGGAACTCTGACTTCAAATTGCAGCAACGTCTTGACACGGATAATGTAGACTCCTTATCAATAATCCCCCCTCCTTAATACTATGATAAGAAACTTAATATGAAGTCCCTTAACAAGAGGGGGGTTATTAATCATGGGTCTACATTACTAGTGTAGCTTGTGGCATGAGATCCGCACTTGTTCCAGGGTCAGTCGGTGCCCTGCTCAGCTGAGCCAGGCGGCAATCCAGGGTTTAGGGTTTAGGGTTTAGGGGTTTAGGGTTTAGGTTGCAATCCCTTGTCCGAGCAGCCAAAGCTCAGCCTCACAAACGACGAGCAGTTCCGTGGCAAGAAGCTCTATTGATGATTCACAGGCGAATTGCAGACCACAAAAACAAATATGGGATTCCTCTACAACTCTGCATGTAAACAGGGGTCCCTGACTCCGGCAATGAACAAATCAAGATACGCTTCTCGAGGTTAAGTCTACCAAGCAAGATCACAGAGACGCGATGTCCCTGATATGTTTTCTCCATCATTCTGTCATTGTCACGGCCGGATACTAGGGTACCTAATACTGTGTCAGGTCTCTTCCTTAACTGAGGAGGTTATTGTTGGGGGATACATGGGGATTTGGGATCTCCATCCGAGTCCTTGCTGAAGCAGGTGCATAAATCCATTATGGCCCCCGCATGGTTGCCACTGTTACTAACGCACAGGTGCGGAGTTCTGAGCCAAGCTAGATGCGGATCTCTCAAAACACGGGGTGCCTTCTGGCGGCCTAGCTCACTTGAAATTCTGTGGATGTAGGGTTTAGGGCTTAGGGTTTAGAGCTCAGGGTTTTGGGTTTTGGGCTCAGGGTTTAGGGGGTCGTTTTGCGAAATTCCCATGATATGTCCGGTACTACATAGGAGGGCCCATGCGCACGCCTTTGCGTAAAATCAAACCGATAACAATGACCACCACGTCGCCTATGATTGTAACAGTTACCCTTGTAGAATGAACAGCGTGGATGACAAACACATGCTCAGTAGCCTACATACTGTCATAACATGTCAAAACTCTGCAACTTCCTGCAACAAGCCACCCTTTTAAGCTTTGGCACAGGGCTGGTATGTACAATGGGGTGATGCTGCAAAGGGCAGGGGTCCAAGGAATAGGCCAAGAATCAAGCTCTCTCTTGCAGAATCCTTAATTTAAGGCGCTTGTCAAAAACTATTCACTCCCAATCGGATGTACAGAAGTGTGGCAGTTACAACAGGGCGGCCCCAATATAGACCCAAAAATACAAACAATTGGAGCCCTAATTTTGGGAGACCCTAAACCCTATACATCCCCCATAACCTCTTAAATGGCACCCCTGATTTTAACAACAAACCCAAAATTGTTGCAGGGCCCATTCGCCGTTGGGAACCCCGCCAGAACAGCTCAACGGCGCATCAAACTGCAGTCGGCTTGTGTGGCACAGCTTCCTAAACCCTACACCATAGACCTATTCTACTCTACTGTTGATGCTAAATGCCTGATCCTAAGTCCCCTAAACCTTGCGAAGCTTTGGAGGCAGGTAGCATAAAGTCCTCCCAGCTCTGCAACATCAACAAGACCTCTGTACAAGAAACGGGTGCAAATTCTTCAAGATCTCAGAGGGACGGACTTCCCTAAGATTCTATACCACCTACTAAAAAAAAACGCTCGCGTTAAGCGTGTTGTACATGCTGGGACGCAATGGCCACAGCCACGCACAACATAAGCATCACGACAAATCCGCCATCCAAATCTCAAGACCAAGGTCTGGGTCCTGAGCCTAAAGAGGACTGCTAGGCTACTAGACATGTGTAAGAAGCCCGCTTTCTTGCTGCGGGCCCTAACAAACAATCTCTGCATCATCTTACCTGGCAGTACTTTCCCAAGGGTGGTAGCAAATTACGCGGCATAGGCATGTGTGAATTTGGGGGCCGCTCTCTGATAAGGCAAGCAGCCCATCATGATCGTAGGTTATCGCCCTACAGCCTTCGCAGAGTCACGGAAACACTCATCCCGAAGATGATGGCTGCAACACAGGAATAATGAAGCAAAGTGATTACGGCGAGGCTATCAGCAGGCGTCAGCGAAAATCAGGAAGGCAACTGTCACCAAAAGACGGCCCGCCTACATGCGAGCTAAGTTGGAGTTCTTGTTGGCGGAACCTTCAGAAGAACGGTGCCCCCTTCTAGTAGTTTCCATGTTCTTTTCCATTATCCCTATACTACCCTATATTACCCCAATATTGCGTTATGTTACCCTAGGAGGAATTGCGGTCCAGGATGTTGCCATGCAGCTTGTGATAATTCACATCATTGCTGTCTGTGGAGGTTTGGGCCTACATCAAGGTTTCAAGAGCCTACTTGCTTCAAGTTACACAAAAGGTCGCAACTCTCAACTTTGGCTTCATGCTCTCACATTGATAATCGCCAGATCCCAACGATTCGTGCGCAGGTCGGGAGCCTATATAAAACAACAGGACCTCATGATTCCGGCGCGGATGCTAAACGCTTTAGGTAAGTGTACTGTTATGTAGACCCCTGATTAATTCCTAATACTGAGGCCCTTAAAAGGAGGTGGCTTATTCATCACAGGTCTACATTATGTACTGCTTCATTGCAGCAAAAGTGAAATTCTCCCACATTTTCGGCAGGGCGGCTACCTGGAACAGAGGCGCAGCCAAATCAAGGCATGTCAGATAAACCCTAAGCCCTACATAACCCAGTATAGTAGTTTCCATTTTCTTTTCCATTCTCCCCATAACCCCAATAGAACCCTAAATTGAGACATGGGTTATCAGTCCGCAATCTGGTACCTTGGGCAACTCCAGGCTAAACCTCCAAACGCTAAACTGCTGGCACCTAAGTCTCTCACTAGAGCTCTTCTTGCGCGGAGTCGTCTCCCTCTTCGTCCTCTTCCTCTAGCAGGTCGTTGATGACCTGCGCTTATGCCAACCTCATGCGACAGCCAGCCATCATGTTCAAAACACCTTGCTTGTAACTAAAATCCTGTGAGCCTTCTTGCCATTCTAAGACTCTCACGTACCTTCCCAGCCAGCCATCATGTTCAAAACACCTTGCTTGTAACTAAAATCCTGTGAGCCTTCTTGCCATTCTAAGACTCTCACCTACCTTCCCGGCGGTTAGTAGGAGGGAATATTTCATGCAGGGATTATGTAGGTATTGTATTCACTTATTCCCGAGCATTTCCAGGGTTGCTGTTTAAGGAAGATACGTTAAGTTACCATAATATGGGTTATGTAGGGTTCAGGGTTACCGTAACATGGGTATATAGTGAAGAGTAGCGTTTCCTTCCGTAGCGATCTGATTTAAAGACCTTAACAGCAACCAAGTTTCCCATACACCCGAAGCCTGGGCTCCATGGGCCCGCCCTAAACCCCAAACCCTAAACCCTTAAACCCTAAGCCCTTAAACCCTAAACCCTTAAACCCTAAACCCTTAAACCCCAAACCCTAAACCCTAAGCCCTTAAACCCTAAACGCTTAAACCCTAAACCCTTAAACCCTAAACTCTCTGCGGCTGACCTCTAGGATGCTGTCCTTGTTGAAGTGCTCACTCATCTTGTGCATCACCTGGATGAAAGCTACAGTCGGTACTTCTTATGCGGTTACATAGAGGACATGGGAGTTTATTAGAGCATGTACTATGGGCTATGCTTGTTCTGAACTGCCACAAAGAATAAGAATACTCTGTCGACCCACATTCAACTCATCGAATCGTAGGCCCTTGCAACGGCAAATTCAACATGCCGCTGCATGCTCAATAGGAATGGTTTTTGAGATTGCATGAACCCCAAGTGTATTTGTAGTGCCTCGGCCTGAGATAGTGGATTTACCTATTGAGAAACTTCTGAATGTACTAGGACCGAATCAGACTGAACACATTGTCTTGAGCGCTCCTTCCCTGTAGACGTGTCCAAGAAGCTTCGGTTCAGCGCGTCGCACAGCTGGGCTTGAGTTTGAAGTTAAACGCTTCGCACTTAAGCTTGCTGGTGGTTAGCAGGAAATGAGGGAATATGATTCCCCTTATTCCCTACTAACTGAGTAAGGTTTAAGGTTTCAGGGAGTTCGTGCTTCTGAAGCAGCAACATTTCCATATTCTGGGCTTTCAGTCGCCATCCTCATTCAGTGTTTTAAGCCACCCTGTAGAATTCACCAAGAGCAGCAAGATTGGGCCTTGGGAGGGCTGTCATTCCATAAAATACGGCAGGGTTCCTCCGGGCAAGCAGAGAGCGAGCGTTTTTTGACTCCTTCCCCAAAGAGTAGCACAGACTTCTGCACAAGTTGCCAATGAGGGGTCCTTGGCCCTAGGATTCATCACAAAGCCTCATGTTGGTTGAAACCAGGGGTGGGCCGGGCCTCAAAACTCCAAGCAGGGGGACAGTCACGTTGTTGCAAACCCAATCATGGTGCGTGTCTTCTGACACAACCAGGCACAATACCACAATATCTTTCTTACAGCATTGATGATGGTGAGCTTCATACCTCAAATGTTCATGGCCAATAAGAGTGGATTCAGACAGGACAAGTTGCACGCGCACCACACACACATGATGGTCCTCAAATGGGAGATGACTTGTGTGACGCTGACAGAAGTCAAATTGGTCACAATGTCATACCTCACGAAACCCCGCACAAAGAGACCCAGAATCCACTATATTCCCCAATACCACCCTGCAGATCCTGTGAGCCATATATCTTTGGTGGACCTCCCACCCAGTAATAGCGACTACAAGGGATAATAAAGATTAGTATGTTATTAGGGTCCTCCTATCTTCCCATTATACCACTATTACAGGGTGGGGGTGGGTGGGTCCTCCGAACATCCATCCCCTACATCTTACACCCAAAGCCCTAAACACAAAAGCCAAAAGCCTAAACCAGAAAGAGTCGCCCGCCGCCGCTTCTTTCGGTGAGCCGCAGTGCCCGGGGGGTAGTACATCTTGGTGGTGTTGAGGTGTGGGGCTACCTCGATCCTGCAAAACCCAGATATTGAGGGTTGTATATGCCCTTCCCTACAAAAACAAAAGACACGGGGTTCTGCAGGGTCCAGGTCATCTTTGGCATTAAGCAAGATTGACAGGACGTGTGGTACAACGGTATAATTTAATTGCATAATTCTGGAAAGGTCTGCGCAAAACAACAATTCCTTATTGAATACAGTGCGTCGTCTAGATCGGCCATGAAGCAAGAGCTTGCCTGGTGAGTCAGGATCTTACATTCTAGATGATAAGCGCTTTTACAAGATCGGGGTCCCCAGTATAAACCCCAAAGCACTATGAAGCCCCACAAGGACAAAGCTTCACTCGGCCATGAGGTATCCAATGCGAATGCGCTGCTCGGCGGTTTGGAGCCCAAAGTCTAAGGGATGCGCAGCATCCCTCCGGAAACCACACCTCGTGTTGAACCCTGTACTACCTTAAACCCTGTTCCTGGGGGCCCCCTGTTACGGGAAATGCCAGGTGCAAGTTACCAGGTGAGTACTCTTACGTAAGGCTTGTATGAGGCTTATATGGGGGCAACTACCCACATGAAATCTTCGCGCACCCTGGTTTGATTTCTTTGTGATGAGGCGCTACCAGGGGCTGCGCCAGGCGGCCAGGAACAAGCTGCTCCCCATGTTCATTTCGGGACCTCAAACGCTCTTCTAAAAAGAGGCTCCTTTCAGGGATCCTAAAGATAAACGTGGGATGCACTGGTTAAGAGAATCGACCAGGAAATGGGGTTGTTTATCAAAACCGAGAACATTCAGAAACTACCACATGGCCGCGGACGCCAATTGTCTGCCAATTCCCAGGTTTCTCCCGACTGGCATTCAAGAAGGGAGGTGTGATCTGTTCTTTAGGAGCGAAAAGCGGAACAACTGTTGCAAATAAACTGTCATCATGGCTGTATGGGTGTGGAGGAATTCTTGTGCGGACATTTTACACCTGTCGTTGATTCTGTCCTTTTCCCCGAACCTCAAACACTGCTTTCTGCAAGATATTGGAAAGTTGTGCTGTGTATCGGTACCATGAAAACACAAGCCAAGCTTTTCATATGATCTGAGAGTACTGTCACAGAAAAGACTGCCAAAGCACTCCGCCCCAAGGGCTTCCCGAGTGACCAGAGTGACCAGAGTTTGATGTGTCTCCGAGAATGGCACCTCCGAGTCTGCAAAATCAAGATCCTAGCTTTCCCAAACTAATGTGGAACCCCAAAGAGCTCTCTTCAAGAATGGCAGTCTCTTTGTGAGGGTCTTTTCAGGTTCCATGCTCGTTGGGATGATGGAATCGGCGGCTGGTGCTTCCTGTTGGGCCTTTTCAGAGTCCTCTATGTGCAACCCATTCCACGTAAACGAGGGTATGGCTGGGGGCCGAGACCTCGCTTACACGTGCCATTTGGCAGTCCTGTTACCATGGGACTGCTCCGGGTTCCATTGTCGCTTGGAAGCATGTGCCCCCAAAACCCGATGGTGCTACATATCAGTTGAAAACCCCACCCTACATCCTAAAACCCCGTTTGAATAAGACCGGGGAAACCCAAATCCCCATTTTTTAATAGGGTATAGATTAGGGTTGTATAAGGATAATGGAAAATAAAATGGAAACTACTATACTATATGGTAGTTTCCCAAAATTAGGGTACCCCAATATAGACCCCAATTTACTATAGTCCTTATTATGGGGACCCCCCAAAAAGGTACCCCTAATTTTGGGAAACCCCCATATTGGGCAAGGTGCTGGTCAAAGGCGTAGAGCCGGAGTCGATCCCGCAGCTGCCGGGTGAGGCGCACCTTTCAGGGAGTTTTCCTTTGGACCCTTAGGGTTTGTACCCTTGGGTTTTGGGTCCCTAAACCATGGAATATGGCCCCGAAAAAGGATGTTTGGGACCCAAAACTTAGGGGTACAAACATTAAGGGTACAAACTTAAAGTCTTTGAACCTTAATTGTTTTTTTGGTAACGCCGGGCGCGCAATCTATGCGGTGTGCGCAGTTGCACGGGCCTTAGCTAGTTTTTGTTACATTTTAGGGCTTAGGGTTTGAGGCACTGACAACAGAGAGCGGAGCAAACCCAAGCCCAGTTTTTAGATTTAGGGTTTAGGGTTTACTCCCGATAGTTATCGAGAGCTCAAGGGAAGAATCGAGAATGAAACAAAACCTGGGAGTATACTGCTGCGGGGTCTAGCGGTTAGGGTTTCCGAAAATGAGGGGTCGGTCCCCATAGAAAGGATCTTAAAATATTGGGGTCTAGATTAGGGCCCCCAGTTTATGGAAAAGCCCATATTAGTCCAAGCGGTGTAAGGCGCCAGGTTCAGGATTTGGACAAAGTCTAGGCTTTGCTTTGCTGGTAGGCTTGACCTGGGTTGGCCCCGGAAACCCTTTGAAAAATATTAGTATATAGGGTCCCTTATTAAAGCCATTAGGGAAAATCTTAAATATCCTTGGGGCCTACCCAGTTACTGAAGGCCGGAGGATATGGGATTTCTCAAATATAGGAGTGCGGGCATATGGGGCTACAGGCAAGAAAACGGGTGTGCTTAGTGGGGATTGTATGCTTGTTCGGCTCACGTTGCTCCACAGTTTGTCACATGTCTAGGGTTTAGCAGAATGGTTTAAGGTTTAGGAGAATGTAGGATTCAAAGTTTCAGGTTTTGACTTTGAGGTCTAGGGCTTCGTGCATAACCAATCTATTGTTCACAGGATTGCTTCCAGAAGTGCTGAAGGGCGATGAAAACAATCAAAGGTGGTGCAGACGTAACTCCTGACACTGGTGATGGCTCCTGCCGCAACGGCAATAAATAACAAAAGGTATACCACCCTGATACTGATATCCAATCACTGGTAGTTTTGCCGTTGCCGTTCCTTTGACTATTACTTTGCCCTAAACCCTAAACCCTCAACCCTAAACTATGGCTCCCACTGTGGCTCTTTCCATTCAAGTTCAGAAGGTTGAGAAGGGAGCCTGGTCTCCTGACCTTACTGGAGGTTAGTAAGCAATCAGAGAATATGTCATGTGAGCTATAGTCTAAACTCCTTATAGGGGGTTTTATATAGGAATGGTATAGGGGACTACTATAGGGGTATTCGGGGGGATGCTAGGAGTTTAGACTATAGCTCATGTAGGGGTTAGAAAGATCATAGTTTTTCCTTATTCGCCACTGACCCACAATAAGTAACATAAACAAGCTGAAATTCACGTCCGCAGCTATGACAACTTAATCCATCTGCAACTTACATGGCCATACCCTAAACTTAGCCCACAATACCCCAGAAAGGAAGGAGGATCTTTGTTACATAAATATATTCGGGAGTCCAGCCATTGCTGGCCGTGACGTAGTTTGGGTTTGGGGTTATGGGTTGAGGAACAAGGATTACAAGGGCATAATCTATGTGGTTAGGGTGCTTCTACATGAACCCTAAGCCCCAAGACCAACAACACCCTGCAAACGCAGGCACTTCGCTGCTCCACTTAGAACAAGCAACATAGAACCCACCTGGCAGGAACCTTCAAACCCTTTTTTCTATCCGGTCTCCATGTTCAGCCAGACTGGGGCACCGCAAGCTTCAAACCCTGAACCTGAACCCTGAAACCGAAAACCACAAACCCTGGGATAAGGGAAACCCGAAGCCCAACGCCCACCTCCTTCTGTACCGACTGCCACACCTGAGGACGCAACAACTGTGACACTGCCCCACCCAATCTTCACAGGAGCTGGGGTGTTTAGGCTATCAACAAGACTGTCCCATGGATCATGCGGAGGAGGGAGTTTGGGTTTCCAAGGCCTCCCATCTGAGCTATAGTCCAAACTCCTCAAAGGAGGTTATATAGGGGATCCCCATGTCTGTCGTTTCCATGTGATTCTCCATTATTGGGACTTAATTCGTGAAAGCTTTGTTGTTGGCCCCTGAGCTATTTGGAGACCCAATGGCGAACGGTGCCTCTCGGCCACGCACGCATTCATCGCAGCCGGCGCTGGCATTGTTGAAGAAAGCCACCTGAGCTTCCGGCCGGGGCAGTGCAGCGTAGGAGTGAAGGAACGAGAAACGGCTGTAGAGCTTCACGTAGCACATTGAGGAAGACCATCGCAAAAGATAGATATTCAGTGGCAGGTGTGACAGTTGCGGAAGTAGACCGTGCAGCACCCGCTATGTCCAACGCCCACTATGAGCTCACCGTCGAAGACGCCACATACTGCCCCAAAAATCCCGCAGTGTCTGCGTGAGCTCCATATTGCGCTCGGCCCTCTGCCAGCCCGTGCCTTCCACAGGCCCCACATCAGCTCTGTCTGTCACAAGCCTTACGCTATTCCTCACATGTACCCTTCCCCTCAACATTACAGTACTGTCCTACCTAGCTGTCAGCTGCAGCTGGGCTGCAAAAGCTCCTATCTTCTTCGGTGCACGGAGCACCTTGCAGGGAGGAGAAGAGGGGTACCCGATCTCTAACTCTGTCTCTCTGTCTGGTCTAGTCTGGTCTGGTGTGGTCTGGCTCTCTCTCTCTCCCTCTCTCTACCTCTCTCTCTCTCTCTCTCTCTGTCTCTCGCTCTTCTTCTTATTCTGGCTATGCCTCTTCCGAGGAGATGAGCTGGGGCTACGTCCCTTAGCCGCGCACGGGTCCAAGCATCTACAAACCCACTTTAGGCTCCCGAACGCCACTTGCCGCCTTGGGGCTGACGCATATTTCAAGGACAGTGGATCTCCATCATTGGCCCCTCCCCTACTCACACTCTCTCCCTCTCTCTCCCTCTCTCTCTCTCCCACACATTGTGGACTCGACTACCTTATGATTTCATGGTGGGCATATATGCTTGCGGCTGTAGGGCTCGACAAGCTTGATCTTCCTTGTTGTAGCCAAGAAGATGAGGTGGTGTGTGGCAACAGGTGCCCACGCTTTGCACAATTCTGAGAATAGCCCGCAGAAATCCTCCACCAGAACACGACATAGAAGTTCTAAGCGGAGTGCACTATTGACATATTTTTTGTTTGAACTCCCAGCGGGCCGTCCCGATGAGGAGACTGAATTCGAAAATTCGCGACGAATCATGAAACATCCACCTAGAGGTCAGAATCCGACTGCGTGTGCCCTGTTGGTACATGTTTGGGTGAGGAGGCCTTTGCAGACATCACCCCGCTGTGGCTGAGCAGAGCCTACATGCGCGTGTCTACAAACTATCCCAGCCCAAAGCAAGGAGCCTTCCACCATCCCCACACAAAGAACCTTACCCTGAACCCGGAAACTCTGCGTCCCAAACCTTCTGAGCCCTATGAGCCCTGAGTCCTGGGCCAACCTCCTCGTCAAAGGTCCAGCTAACCAATTCGCCATCTTTCGGCCCCTGAGGGTGCGCGTAGGCTTCGAGCAGCATCTCAAATTCATGGGCACTCTTATAGTAGATGATAGTATATTATGGTGCATTATAGTACAGTATAGTACATCATCATATGTTATAGTATGTTATACTAAATTTTAATATTGAAGCTTTCGCACAGAGTTTTTTGGAATAGACTTGGGTACAAACACCTCTCACTAAAATGAATGCATGACTAACAGCAAAGCCTGAACAGCGGCCCTCTGCAGACTGCCGCCCCTGAGAAAGGGATGTGTGCGGGTTTGGATGTTTGTTGTTGTGTGAGGAAACCCTAGGTTTAGGGTTCTATATTGGGGTATATTGGGGTAGTGGAAAATAAAATGGAAACTACTACGTAGGGTTTAGTCGCAGGCCTTCCCCGCTTCGTCCAAGCTGGCCCAGTAGGTCGGCAGCTTGCCGGCGTAGTATCCCTGCATGGAGAGTTGGCTTTCGCGTGCCAATGTTTAGGATAATGGAAAAGAAAATGGAAGCTACTATTTAGGGCTTGGGGTCTAGGGTTTATAGTCGCCCTTAAGTAGATGGAATATGAGGTATATGGGGATCTTATTATAGACCCAACGCCATAATCTATCTACCTAAGGGGGGCTGTAGGATTAAGAGTTCAAGGCATGGGTGCTTTTTGTATTTCTTGTGCATGCACCCCAAGCACCAGGCTCTCTCGCATTATGGTCGCCCCAAAACTTGGGGCCCATGACTGAAAAACCCCCTATAGGCTCGGCATGTGCTGTTGATCTCCGCAGCTGCGCGTCTTTATGATTATTCTGCTGATGTGGGAATTTCTCAAACAGGCCCGTATAAGCTCAATGGAAACCTTCATAACGTATTTCCGGGTTCGAGAAAACGGTTGAGGTCTTACGTTGGTTTCTGTACCTTACTCCATGACATGCAAAGATAGGGAGAGAGTAGCAAGAAGGGAGTTGGATACCTCTGAAGGGATGGGAATTCATTCGCACGTTCCTCACCCTGTGCCTCAGCTTCATGGTGAACCCCAAGCCCAAAATCTAACACTGAACCCTAAACTTTCCATGGCTAAAATAACTAAAGCCCTAAACTTCCCAAAGCTACAGTCCCCCTTCAGTAGATAGAATATTGCTTTGGGTATATTCTAACAAGATCCCCATGTACCCCCTACTCTATCTACTTAAGGGTGGGCTTTACATTCAAAGCTGAGGGCTGCCATGACGTGCTTGGGAGCTCACAAGCCTTCAAAACAGCCGACATGATGGGAAAGCAAATGAGCCATGGTCCAAACTCCTAGTATCCCCCATAATAATGGAGAATCAAATGAAAAAGAAAATGGAGAATGAAATGGAAACTGCTATATATAGTGTTATGTGGGGGATTATAAGGGTTATGGTCTAAACTCCTCGTATTCCCTAAATACCCCTATAGTAATCCCCTATGGAACCCCCCTTGAAGAAGTTTAGACTATAGTTCACATGGAGAAATGGAAGCTGAGTTGAGCTTGGGAATGGAAAATGAAATGAAAAGTGGGACGAGGGTGGTTTCTAGGGCTTGTGCTAGCAAGGTACATGGCGAAGCCCTAGTGATATCTGTAATACTGGCATACGCTATATAGGATGTTGCCTGGTCATGACCTGGGTTTGCCCTACCCAGGTTCAAAACATTCTCTGGGCCGTAGCTGACAGTATGAACCCTAAACCCCCAAAACCCTTGACCCTAAACCCATTACGACAGAAATCCCAAACTGGGGGAGGCATTCCGTGAGGTGCGGCTTACTTAACCTACTTACTAAGTCCCCCTAACCCTTAATAGAAAACCCTTTTTGCTGCAGGCTTGTTCCGTCCGCCCGGGTAAGAAGGGTACAGGGTTTAGGGTTTAGGCTTTGGGGTTTGGGATGCAGGGCTGATAGGAAAGCCCCGCACCCCTCCTAATATTACATACTCTCCATTGCGGTAGCTTAGAATGTATATTATCTAAAAGTAGGGTGGGTGGGGAGGGGGGTTTAATATTGGGAGGGGGTTACTCCTGTAGAGCTTTGAGGATCATGCATTTCCTGTGATTTGCTGTTCAAGGGTATCAGCTTCTGTGAATTCAGGGTTACTTGAAGTTCGAGCCTTTGGATCCCACCCTAAACCCTAAAACCCTAAACCCTATAGTCCCCCGCCCTTAAGTAGATAGAATATGATACATCTACATCGCCTCGAAGAAGGCGTTCACGGACTCTTCTCCCAAATCCGTGAGGCGGTACCTCGCTTTCCATGCTGGGGCTTCGATTCGAGCATCTTCCGACTACAGATAGTTCTTGATTCATGCTTCAAGGCCTTAGCAACCAGAGCATGAAGATATGGGTAGCTCCCAAAACTAGGGTCCCATTTTGGTACGCCTACAATGTTTCTTCGAGGAAACGCAGGGCCAAAGTGTGCTGCCACAGACCCAGCTGACAGCTGCACGCGGCATGCATTTGAGGCTTGCTTGCGGTGTTTCCTGCGTTATTGGGCCCGGGCGCTTTGGAAAAGTCAGATCGTAACTTACTTGGTGCACATTTAGGATGGCTTTCAAACCAACCAGGCGTTTATCCTCTGATATTCAGGGGCCTATGCAGTCCATCGAGCTAACAATAAACGGACCGCCCCCATGGAATTCTGTTCTTGGCCTACTCCCGTCGTGGTCCTTCATTCCCCAAACCCTATACGAGAGTTTCTCAACATGTCCCCTACTATAATAATCCGGACTAGGGCGCCCATCCTACAGTCTCATCATCCGCATAGTTGAGGGTCATTGAAGGATTCCATGCTGAGAAACCGTGAGAAATCCCGCATAACTGTAGGAATTCCGGAGGTAAAGTACCATGAAGCTCCTCCAGGATTGGGGTAGTTTTAGTTGGCCATGAACGACGTCCCCAAACCCTATACCCTAAACCACTGCCCAAGAAGCTTCTTCGAATTGCCGTGGAAATGGTTTCCTTGCATTTGAAACTTCTCCGACAGGAAAGAACGACCGAAAGAGAGACTACTGGAGCCGCCCATCCACCTTCTGAGCTAAAACCAATACTTCCTACGTAATTCAAGGGGTTTAGGGAATATTTCCTACATAATTCAATGTAAATGGGTTCCTCTTTTAGGGACTCTTTTCGGGACTATGCTAAACCGTAATTAAGAGGGACCCGTATGTCCAATGTTAAGGCTGCCTTAAATAAGCCCAATGATTCTGATTCAAAATCAAAAGGAAAGGTGGACTCGCAGGGTCTCTGCAGGACAACGTCTAAGATATTTAGCCCTAAACCCTAGACAACAAGGACTCGTGACAAGCAAGAGTCCAACTGGCCGGGAGCCCAGTCCTTCCAGATCGCTAAACAGGATGAGCTCTGCCTCCAAAGACTCATTCAGCCTCAGTTCATGACACGATAGAATTGGGGTTTAGGGTGAACAAGGACCAGACCCTCTTACAACAACATGGAACCCTGTGTAAATCCCTTTTCTGCTTCTGAGTAATCTCTCTTGGCTCCAGATGACGCTGCAATCCCCAGCAGCACTGTCAGCTCAAACCTCCTCATTATCCAAACCAATTAAATATGTACCCATTAACTATTTGTTACAGGGTCCTGTTATCAGCATGTGGGAGATCTAGCTACAAAACGATTTAGGTTTAGGGCCCTTGAAGCCCTGCATCAGGGCACTGTCTCAAACCTCGGCCCTGCAGATTCCGTTTTATTTTCCGAGGCTCTGAAATCCGCGTTGTAGCAACTCGTCCGTGCATCTTATAATGAATATTGAAGGCCTCTGCAAAAGAGGGGACTTCCCAAAAAAGCCGTGCCAAATCCATTCTGCCAGGAATACACCTACAACAAGGACCCGTAATCTGCGAATTTGGATTTGTTCAATAAAGCTATAGAGATATTCGTGGGTTTCAGAAACGGAACATGGGCGCGTCTATTGAAAATTCCACTCTACACGGGTTACCCTAAACCCTGAAGCTCAAACGCTGAAGCTTCATCGAAGGCACCCGACTTTGAGCGCTTGTCGCATCTCCAGTGTTTTGGCCTCAGGCAGATTTCCAGCATGATGGCAAACATACTTGCTGCGATGGCCATCACTAGTGGTGATAGTGGCTGGGGCAGTGGCGGAACAGCAGCAGTACTGTAGTAAGTAGTAGGAGTAGGAGTTGGGGTAGGAGCTGCAGGAGGAATAGGAGTAGCGGTTCTGGTGGTGCTGGAGGATATCATGGATCTCAGTTTTCAGATACGTGCAGGCGAGCTTCTGACTTCTCGACCACGGCGAAGCGAATCTTGCCTCGCAGCTTTTCCTCGTCAGCAAATAAGATGGAAGTCTCATGACGTTGATGAGCCACTCAGACCCTTGCAAAGTGTAGAGCAACAATAACCCACAGACCAAACCCTTGACCCACTGCATCTCTCGGAGTCTTCTCACAAGACGTCAGAACGATGTTTTGCAAGTCTGCAACCCAAGTGGCCATGTGCGGTCGCAGAAAGCGGATGGCCCTAAACTGAGGGCCGAAGTCGTTAATGTCCTCCGCTTAGATAGACAGGGAAATCCCAACCTTCCTATGTTTAGGGACAGCTGACCGCTGACCTGCTAGCATCCGTGGTACGAGTGGGCCAGAGCAGGGTGACGTGTAGGGTCCGGCGCTTACGGTTTAAGTTCAAAGGTTTGGGGCCGCTGGTGCCACTCTAAAATGTTTCTGCCGCTTTTGCAAACATGCTTGTGATCAGAAGCTTGCCACACGAAAGGACTAGTCGCGTCGAGAGGTACCAAAGGGTTCTCAAAGGACATGATAGTCGTGATTGCTTTATAGAAAACCGTCACTAAAAAAAAGGAGCAGCAATGAAGGAATCGGGAAGCAAAGCAATGCGGTCTAGACGCATGCCAACTTCCAGGACTACCAGAGTAAGTGGGCGTCCATTGTCATCCTGCATCTCGCTGCGAAAAAGCCTTCAAACTGTGGGCCTCTAAATAGGAACTTACACGGTAACTCCTTTTTTGGGACACCTGGCTCTGGAATTTGCTACACCTCCATCATAGCCCCCAAGAGCCCAACAGGAACCCGTCCTGATCAAATTGCTTCGCATTCTGGATACATCAGCATCCCTCACAGTAGGGGGCCCTTAGCCAACTTCTCTGCATCGCAAATCCTGATCACCCGACCTCTGACAGCTCATTCTAGTCCTTAAAGAAATTGGAAGCTCGTAGGGTCCTGGATCTTCACAAGGACTAAGCCAACTCCTCCCGTGTTCGACTTGCCGAAGTACTTGTCGAACGGGAACGGGTTGTGTTTTCCCTGGTAGCCTGTCACAGTAAAACGCTTGCTAGACTATCCCCCTCCTGCCAGCGTATCTATCTGCTTGCAGGCTACGTTCAGGGAAGAACCTCTCAAGTTCGAGGGCTCTTGCTACAGCTGCTTAGTGTTCCATGTGGTCCAGCACATAATGGAAAGTTTGCAACGAGTAAAGCCCCACAACTATACTCAAACATGATACTGTCAGCCCACAAAAAAAATCAGCCGTTCGATGCCTCAAAATAGCCCTGGGGCGCACGCGCCCAACAAACCCCTATCTAAACCCATAAACCCCGAAACGACCCGTAAATAAACCTTACATCAGCCCTATATAAACCCCAAGAAAGCTGAACCAAAGGCCTGCCAAACTCACTATCCTTTTGGTTAGCTGGGAAGGAAGGAATGGAAAAGAAAATGGAAACTACTATAATGGGGTTATATAAGGTTTAGGGCTTAGGCTTTAGGGTGGGAATGAAGGAATGGAAAAGAAAATGGAAACTACTATACCGGGCTACATAGGGACTACTCCATGAGCTATAGTCTAAACTCCTAGTATCCCCCTTAATATCCCCTATAATAGTCCCCTATGTAACCCCCTTGAAGGAGTTTAGACTACAGCTCCTATGGAACCATTCCACAGTCTTTCAACAAACACGTCCGCCGAGAGAACTGAGCCATCCCCTGCTTCGTTATGCAGAAGATCATGGGGCTCAAAAGGTGGGATAAAGCTAGGTGGGTTAAAGGATCCCTACTGTAGGTTCTGCTATATTGGGGCTTATCCCCTTTATCCCACCTACCTTCATCCCACCTTTTGAGCCCCCTGAGAAGATTTGCTTTGGATGAAGCGCCCGCCCAGGAAATTGTAATAAACAGGGACCTTACTGCAACCACCATTATCACTTGTGGTGACTGTTCACGGATGGGGGGCCTGATACCCCCATATTCCCTATAATCCCTATAGTTTCCATTTTGTTTTCCAGTATCCCAAGATAACATAGGAAGTCCACAGCCTCAAAAACCCACGAAGAACAGAGCCTCTGTTCCCAAAACCTGCCCCAACTCGCACTCATCTCCTTCCCCGATGCAGTAGATATGTAGCAGGCAAAACTACTGAATGCTAGGCGCACCCCGAAAAAGGAAGCAGAAGGACCTGAAATCCGTAACATGTATAATGGAAAAGAAAATGGAAACTACTATATTATATAGGGGTTTATATTGGGTATAATGGAAAAGAAAATGGAAACTACTATATTATATAGGGGTTTATATTGGGCATAATGGAAAAGAAAATGGAAACTACTATATTATATAGGGGTTTATATTGTGCATAATGGAAAAGAAAATGGAAACTACCATATTATATAGGGGTTTATATTGGGTATAATGGAAAAGAAAATGGAAACTACTATATGATATAGGGGTTTATATTGGGTATAATGGAAAAGAAAATGGAAACTACTGTATGATATAGGGGTTTATGTTGGGTTCCCACTATTTCGCATCTTACCTACGTACTCCCTAGTTGGTGGTTCTACCACATAGGGAATCTTTGCCATGTTGGGCGTTAGCATGTCTTGAAGGGGGTTACCTCAAGGTTCGTCATCCTCAAGGACTCTGCACATATCCCTGAAGCCTTAGCCTAACATGGGGCCATAAACCCTGAACCCTGTCTTTGTGTTCTCTGCTAAGAGGGATTCAGCCTGTCTGCCCAATCAACCCCTGTGACAGACATGCCTGCGACCCGGTAGTTGATTGTGGGGAAGGCATTCTCCTCACAGGATTCGCAGACTTGTGGACTTACGGATTAGGATCATCCGAACGGCATAACAACCAGACTGCAGTGGGGTCATGCCCGGGGCTCATTCGGGGCTTTTTGCTGACGCCCCCTTTCGGTGGGCCCCTATAATACTGGCCCCTACAAGTCTTAGTTGTCCTGGGTTAGGCATGCGCAAGTTTAGGCAGGGCCCGTGGTTCCAACCTTTGGGCAACAGCCCTCTGGTAGCCCCATGGTCTCCAGCAGCCAAGAACGAACCTCCTTCTCCTTCCACTTCTTCTTGCCTGCAAAGCTACATGCAAACAACACGGTTTTAGGGTGTGAGCTCCTGGCCACCGCCACATAAAAGAAATATGTGAGAGAAACCAAAGTCCCGCCCTGGAACGGTCGTTACATTCATTGCTTTCCGTTTGCCCCAGAGCATCCGATCCGGACATGATGTCTTCAACAAGCCACGATAGAGAAACCAAAAAACACACAGGCTAACTGGTGGCTGGTAGATAGGCATTACATAAGAATTGGCCGATGCGAAAGCAACTGAAGCGATGCACTCCTCCATTCCCTGACCCTAGATCATAAGGATCCGAAAAGCGTAGCCCCCCTACATAGGGGAACCTGGGAACTTACAAGGAGGTTCCCTTAAGGGTTCTGGATAGTACACACCATGCACATGCCCGGGTATTCATAGCTCCGCGCATGGCCTCGGCGAAGCTCCTCAACAGCAACTATTCACCCCTTCATGTTATTTAGGGGGTTCTCGAAATTAGGGGTAATGGGGGTTGGGGGTCCCCATAGTACGGATTATAGCAGTTAGGGATCGATATGGGGATCCCCCTGACTAGGGAAATTATCCTATGTAGGCATGACAACAACAAGTGCCAGCGGGGCTACCCAAAACGTTGTGAGCGTATGATGTAGAATGCCTCCCTTCCCCTGAAAGAGAAAATGACACAAGACACACACGCGCACACCTGACAAACAGTCGAGTACCGGCCTACTGGCATGCTTTCTTGAATGTAGGACGCCTGGGAAAATGACTGGGTCAGCGTCCATCGGCGGCTGTTCCAGCATTTCCTTACTTTGGGGGCTTAGGGGCTATATATCTTGAAAACGTTCATGGTAAGCGAGTTCAAAGTTTCAAGATTCAGGAACCACGCAACAAGTTTGCAACGCCAAGGCTGGAATGCCGCTGCAGTGCCCCTATTTGGGAAAATTACATCTTAAAGGCCTGGATGCAAAGAAAAGATCTGAGGAAGCCAGCCAGCCCTTTCTCCATTTCAGGCAGAAAAGAAGGCCTTGTGGGTTACTCTCAAAATTATGGGCCCTTTTCGGTTATTGGTTGTAATATGGCACCTAGAATATGGGGGTACCAAAATGGGACCCCAATCTTGGGAACTACCCTTGTAATTTCGTCGGCAAATATGCTTGTAGCTACAAGAACCTACATCATCTGCATGGTCGCAGGGTGGGGTTGCAAGGTTACCGTTTCAGGTTTTGCCCTTAGGTTTCTTCTTGATTCAAGAGTGTCAAGCATGAAAGCTCTTCTCTCCTTTCCTAGCTCAGGACCACGCCATTCATGTGTGGTTTGCATTCTCGATGTCCTCTGCGACCCATCACAAGTATATGCAACTCCAAATCCCCAAGAGTAGGAAGGATGTCAAGTAAAAGGGATGAAGAGTTTTGGCTGTCCGCGCGTGCCTCCTGAAAACTACACCGTTCCTGACTAAATTAAGGAAATTCACGTCACGCGGAACTCCGCAGGTATCCGGATGTTGGATTGCACATGTACCTGAATCCGTATCTCCCACATCATGATTTGAAACCTTGTGGAAAGCACGCTTGCAAAAGGGGTTGCAGCTATTTGCATGCTAACCGAAGTCTAACCCAACAATACCCGACAGTGACCCTATCCTCCTAGGGGCCTTAAACTTGCATCTTCAAAAGCTACCCGACAAGCCCTACAACTTCAATCAAGTGTTGCAAGCATTGCTGCTGACGGTGTATTACTACTATCATCATTCTGAACCCTCTAATTGCTGGTACTAAGAGTAATCTTATAAGTAGTGTTGCTATTCCTGGTGGTTGGTTGCCTCGTGACCATCTAATACAACGGACATCCGCCGCAGTTCAGTTCTGCGAGCAAACCGCATGAGACCCAACACTTTTTCTTCTTCCAATCCTGAAAAAGTGAGAGACTTCACCTCAACCTAGGTCATTCCCACTTACACAAATCTGTTAATAGGAGACATATTCGCCGAGGCTATCCAGCCTCGGCGTTTGGGACCCTCAAGAACCCCCTTCTACTCCCCTTTGCAGGCCACCTCTGCCTGGCGACCCCCACCCCCCTTCTCCCATGGTGGGTGGCCTAGTCCAGCCAACCCCCTGCATGAATGCTGGAACAAGCATACCACAAACACGTCTGAAGTGAGGCTTGCCTCTGTTACTCCCTCGACCCTAAACCCCACGTGTCAACTACATACCATGACCTATTTGTGTGCGGGCGCGCGATAGCTTTTATAATTATCCCCTGACTAAAGTGACCCAACCTTTAACCCTGTACTATTCCGCTACTGCTATAGTTTCTGTTGCTGCTACTATTGTTGAGTACTGATACTAGTACTATTACTCCTATTACTATTGCTATTACTATTATACTCTTACCATTACTATTACTATTACTTACTATTACTATGACTATTACTATTACCAGTACCAGTGCTCCGTTGCCATCACCATAATACTACGAAACCAACTGTAATAACAAACATATTAGTCGTACTAATAGAAATAGCGACAAATTGACAAATTGCAGTGATACAAGGGAATCCTCCGAGTGTCCCAAAGCTTTGCTGCATAATTCCGCCGCACAATCCTGGGATCTAGTTGCTCCAAGGCTTAGGGTTTAGGGTTTAGGGGTAGTATTGAAGGGTTAGGCGCCTAAACCCTAAACCCTAAACCATGAGAATATGACTTCGGGACATTTTCTGTGACAGCCACAGGAAAATAATGAGGGGATGGCCTTCGTGACCTTAACACTAAACCCTGAACAGCAACCCAGACTACTATCCTTATATGGTCCGTAAATGCGGAAATTTCCAAAGATGCACGGACCCGAACATAGACCCCCAAATACTTGAGGCCTGATCACAGGGACCCTCCAAGAAGGAACCCCTACTTTAAGGAAACCCTAAACCCTATACAGCAGTTTCCATGTTATTTTCCATCCATTTTACTTTCCGTTATCCCCATATATTGGTAGAATGCATCCCCACCTCCTACGCAGGCATTCGAAGTTGATCGTTCCCTATGATGCCCTTACCCAACCCCACTTTCCCTGTAGTCTCCTCAGACCTATACTAGAAAGTTGATTTTTGATGCTTCCTTAGGGTTATACTATAGTAAAAATTACAAACCACTCCTAAGGAGACCACAGTTCCATGTCATCTTGCCATCCATTGTCCATCTAATCTCCATTTTCGTTGAACCCGTTTCTTTGCACCCTCTTGATCTTCATCATTCGAACTTTTAAAGCCCGAAGCCCTCGCACTGAGTGTGAACCCTAAACCGCCGGCTCCTACATTGGCACTAGCAACCATGGCACTGGAGTGATTCCTCTTCCTCCCAGTCGATCACCTGGGCGAATTCAAGATAGCAGTACTTCCCGATAGTGACCTGTTAGGAGGCCTGTAGGTGTTCAACGTAAGCCTAGACATTCCACCGTATCTCGTCGCTCAGTGCCACTCTGCTGACAACCAGTTAGATAATGCCAGTGCACAACAAGCCCCTAACAGGAATAGTCTCGTCGATAGCGGCAACAGGACATCTCCTAACCCTTGCGCAGAAATTCTTTTGGGATGACATGAGCCATGGTCTAAACTCCTAGTATCCCCCTTCATAACCCCTATAGTAGTCCCCTATATAATCCCCTATATAACCCCCTTCAAGGAGTTTAGACTATAGCTCACATGGCAGAAAGGAAGCTTGGGAGAGCATGCTGTCAACGTCATTATAATACTGTCGACGTCCGCGCTGACATGCGCAAAGTGAATGTCGAGAGCGACGGACTTGCCAGGGAAACAGCATTTAAGTAGTAGTTGCCATCTTATTTCCCATTATCCCTATATAACCCCCTAAACCCTAAACCCTATATAACCCAAATATTACCCCAATATAATGAACTCCTTATGTTATGTTTTCGGCTCCCGAGGCCGATCTGCTTGGAGCTGCTAGGATAAGTCAAGTAGCAATATGTGAAGATGCCTTCCTGTAGTCCCCTTAAGTAGATAGAATATGGCTCTGGGTATACTATGGTAAGATCCCCATATACCCCATATTCTATCTACTTAAGGGGGACTATAATAACCTCAGACAAGTGTCCGATGATCCCCATAAACCCTAAATGATTTACAATCTTTGGGAGGAAATTTCCTCATGACAAAATTGGGATGCTGCTGAGGAACTTACATGAAGTTAGGATAACAATGAAACCCTCTTATTTACTATGTACCCATATTATTGTGGTAACTACACTCAAGTTCCTTAACAGCGACCCAGAAAAAAAGAGCCAGGCAAACCAATTTCGGGGCGTTCTTAGCAGCTCCTAGTTGCTCCTGCCATCGGGAGCTGCAGATCCCACAAATCCTCAGCAACACGGTTCAAGGGATTAGGGTTTCTGGGCCTCTAGGAACCCCAAGAGGCGAAGGGTTGAGGGCTTAAAAGTTTAGGGTTTGGAGGTTCTAGGGGGCAATCCGGGCCTCTGGCTTGTCACATCTTCTGGGTAGAGCAATACCCTCCCACGAGAACCCCTCTGACCACGCTCCCCCCGCCTCCTAATATTAAATATTACCGATATTGCATTGTATGATAATATACCACAATTTGCATATCTAACATAAGGGGTGTGGCGACTTATCTTAGAGGGACGTAAGAAACTGATGACTATATGGGCTGAGCTTCGACTAGGATATGTACGCCATACGCCTTTGCTTGTACGGTACTGGGGGGCTCAATGAATTTTGCCTCAATAGGCTGCCCGAGCAGGGCTGAGGTAGCTGTCGAGAATCGGTCATTCTGACCGGGGACTTCATCACATCTGGAATCCGGGGTCTCTGAAAGCTTAAGGCCGAGGGGCACTTGGCTATAGAACACTTAGAAATGGCCACAACTTGTTTGCACTCACTCTTACACTCGGAATGTACATGCATCGTAGCTAGTCTACAGGAGAAGAGTGCATCAAACAAAGCACCAGCGTGGTGATGAGTGTCCCGCAACTTCTCGGTGCCAGCTTGAGTGGCAGCCGAAGGGTGCAGACTAGTCCTGCTTTGCTGGCGTGGCTGATCGCAGGGACGGGGTCCCCACAGGATCAGCATGGCTGCGAACAGGATCCAGCTCTCAAGCAGCTGCCACACGGGCAGCCTCAATCACGCCATGAAGGCAA